TCTTTGGTTCCCTATTAGTCTCGCCTTAGAAAAGTCCTGCTTGCGGTGAGTCTCACCAGATTGGTTGCAGGCTCGCGCACCTCTTTGGTAAAGGTGCAGACAAGCTTTGGATTCCGGCCAGTCCCTCCTTAGAGAAAGCCAGCCTCTGGGAGAGCTTCTGTGCTCAGCTTGGATGGGGCGGAGTCTTGGGATGGTGCAGACAAGCTTTGTTTTCCCATGGGCTCCTACCCAAGTGGCTCCTCCCCAAGTCCCATAGTAATGGCCTCTGGCTTCACACACCTCCGAGAGATCTCTGCCTGCTGCCTGACAGTCTGGCCTCTCTCTGACTGGGGCTGTCTATCAGAGCAATAGGGTGGTTCTGTTTTCCTTCTAAACTTGAAAGCCAGCAGCGTGTTAGCTGTCTGCCCTCTCTGAGCGCCGGGAGTAAGCCAGTAGCGAACTCAGCCCAGCCTGGCTTCTTCACGCGTGGCCTGGCCTCTTCGCGTGCCAGTAGTACACCAGCAGCAATCTTGGCCCTTCCTTTCCACGTGCCAGGATTAAGCTAGTGCCTTTTCTCCGTACCTTCACAATTTCTTAGGGTCAACACGCCTTCTCTTTCCTTCCCAGATGGCAGAGCCTCCTCTCAGCTAGCCATCCGGTGCTTCAGGGCAATGCCTCCCCTGTTTTCCAGTTCTAAATTCAAATTTGTTGTGGTAGGCTGCATTCCGGTGTCTACTCTATGCCGCCATCTTGGTTCCCTCAAGTGTTCACTTTTATGACGTGTTATGTTTTGCTTACTTTTTCTTTTGTTATGCAATGGTTGTTGTTCCCCAACCCCCCCTTTATATGTTTTTCTTGACAAATCATATAGACTTTCTTATTAACTTTTCCCAAATGAGCCTTAAATTGATGTCTTGCATACCCTTTAAATTCATAATTTAAAAATCTCAGGAGTTTAAGATGGTATTATGAGCTCGTTATTTGGTATTTTTATAGCAAACGAAATAACTTTAAAAAAACAACAACACAAAAACACAAGTGGGTTTCTGATAGCCCACTTGCTGGCTTGCAGGATAAACACAACCCGGTTCAGTATTTCTAAATTGTTGATTCTCTCTCACTTGTATCCTCCCCCTTTGCATTGAGCCTTTCTTTTTCACTGCAATTGTCCTTCTCTTACTAGATGTGTATTAAGAGAGTACAAGAGGGTAGATTTTGTGCTGTCTGGCGAATCAGAATTAAATGTTCTTGAAGCATTCCTGGCAGCAAAGAGGAAGAAAAGTAGAGAGACTATTTTCCAGGCTGCAGAGGCTCAGAGGTAGAAGGGAAGGTTGCAAACAAGGGACTGCTAGAAACTTTTGACTAAAATACAGATTGAATTTCAGTCACATTCAATTGCATGTTGATTTACGTTTGCTAGTTCATATTATTTTTAGTCCATTTTTGCCACACACTGAGAAAGCCTATTCTTTTAGTTACCTAGTGCTTTTTATGAAACTAAATCTAATAAATATAAAACATTGAAAGGCAGCTCACATGTGCCAAAGGCAGCAGACGAGAGAGGCAGCAATGGTTTGTTCAGAATCCAACCTGGAAAGAAATAATTGGAAACTGTTCAGCCTTTGAGACATGTCCCTTCCTCAGCCACTGCCACCAAATCAGTCTAGGCCAGTGGTTAGCAAACTGGCTCTTGAGCCACATGTGGCTCGAGAACCGTGGTTTGCCGCTCTGTTGACTAATGAGTTTGCTGACCACTGGTCTAGGCTCTCAGGACTCCATGCCTATTAGTGGAAAGAAGAGAAGGGAGGAGAAGGGAGAAGAGGAAGAAGGAGATGAGAAGAGAAAACATGTCATAAGCCTGGGGTTTGCTCCTGACAGGTGAATAGATTTTTATCTTAGTCCTTCTGTTGCCCCAGACCGTGTTGGGGGAGGACAGTACAGGTTTGTTGATGTCAATTCCATCTGAAAATATCATCTGTAACTTCTGATACCTCGAAGGAAAATCTGTGATTTTATTTTATTTTTTTTTAAATATATTTTATTGATTTTTTACAGAGAGGAAGGGAGAGAGATACAGAGCCAGAAACATCGATGAGAGAGAGTCATCGATCAGCTGCCTCTTGCACACCCCCCACCGGGGATACGCCCGCAGCCAAGGTACATGCCCTTGACCGGAATCGAACCCGGGACCCTTCAGTCCCCAAGCCGACGCTCTATCCATTGAGCCAAACCGGTCCCGGCGGAAAATCTGTGATTTTATATAAGCTCTTTTTGAAGATCTACTAGTAAGATAGACTTCTTTTTGGTTTGGAAAGATAGGGTTAGGGTCCATGACAGGATGCAATGGAGTGGAACTAAAATTTGCTTTGCACAATAGAGTGAAGACTCCATATGCTTCTATTCAAGTCACTTAATCTGCCACCCCACTCAGTGGGTTTGTAAGGCAGATAAAGAATACTGTCATGCCTGAAACAGTCAATTCAAGCTGGTAAAACTCAGGGAATCATTGTGTGACACATTTGACCATGAACTAGAATACATTATTCAGGTGGCTGGGATTCTGAGTGTTGATGACCCTGTCAGTGTCTCAATGAAGAAATTAAAAAAATAATTTAGGGTCATAGAGCAACTTTTATTAAAGAAGAGTTATGCCTTAATCTACTTTATTTTATGGGCAATTTAAGTGATTTTCAAGAGTGTTGACTTTAGAACTTAATCCCCACTTAACATGGGATTTTAAGAAAAGCTTTCGGTTTTCCCTTGGCAGTTGGAGAGACAGTACTTTGGAGACTTGAAGAGTTGGCTCCATTTACTCAGGGAAGAGCCAGGGAGAAAGATGCTTAATAAAGGTTCCCGCTGTGGTGGACGGACAATGAACTTTAGGAGCAAGGATGTCTGGTATGCAGTTTTTAAGTTCTTTCCTGATTTGTGCTATACTCACCATTGATTGTTAATTCTTAATAAACATAGGTTGTACCACCAGCCTTGAGTTATTAGTTCCTTGTGGAATGGAGAGAAAGGGCTTCCTTCATTAAACAAGGTAATGCATCTAAAATACTTAGAATAAGCAGGCAGTTGCTTAAAGTAGAAGCATGACAAAATATTAGCTCATATCAGTCTGTTTTAGGAATACATAAAGCTCCCCAGCATGGAGGAATCAAAAGCAGTTAGTTGGAGGTAATCAAGGAGATGCTGGGAGGAGTTTAAAAGGACACTGAGGACATTTGCATTGTCATCTTTACTTCTTATCATTCTCAACTGCCCTCCCCCAAATCCTGAGGAGCATTAGGGAGCAAGCCTGGCTCCCAACAGTAACTTGGCTATGAAAGGGAAGAGGGACCATCAAAGGCTAAAATCTTGTGATAATGTGGGACTAGGCAAGTAGGCTTCAAAACTTGTTCAAGTGGAGTTTGGGCAAATAGGAATGGAAGAATAGAGAGAAAGAGTAGGATATTCTTCAGAATCCCCAACTTATAAAATGTTATTCTCTTATTTGGCTAAAAACCCTTTTGTGTACCTAATATCAGTTACTAATATCAGTTGATGTCATATTAACCAGGCCATAAAATTGTGTGTTCTGTTCAAGAGAGAGTTCTCTCCATGCCAAGGAACCATGGAGAGAAATGGGATGCAATAAATATATATTGAACTGAGTAAATTACACGCTATAAACTTAACTAGGATAGTTAAACAGGCCACTTGGTAACTTGTCAACTTATGGTCACTAATCATGTTAATCGGGTTATGGGCCTTTTTTTAATAAACATTTTTCTTTGTGTCTAATCTCATTAAATCCTGTACAGTGACAGATTTTGCTTAAAAATGTTTATTAATAGCTCATTTTCATAGTTCAAAAATGTATTACAGATGATAATCAGCAGAACAATTAAAAACAAAATCTCACCTCTACAGAGTTAGCCAGTGTGTAGACTTTATTACATAGGCACATATTTTTAAGTAAAGCAATTTTACATAAAATTAATCACAATAGTACAAAAAAGTTTCATCAAAATAAGATAGATGACAAATGTAGGAAAATACAAGCCTTGGATCAGCTGACTCATTCATTGGATCTTGGGTCCATCCATCTTAACACACTGAAATTCACTATAGATATTATAAAAATGCAGGGTGAGGAGGAGTGCACTTTTCTCATTCTCTGGTAAAAACACTATCTGTTTAGTTTCTTGAACATAGTGAAAATGTATCCAGGCTCTGTTGGCAGTTGGACACAAAGGTTAAATGAATGTTGGCTTAGGGTCAGAGGAGTTCATAGTTATCTCTTCTGTCACCCCTATACTTTAAAACCCTTAAACACTTTGGTCCAGCAGGTTGCTGTCAGGATCTGCATATCTGCTTCCCCAGAACCAAGTGGGGTTGCTGATCTTGAATCACATGGTAGTTAAGGCTTCAACCACAGTCTGGCTAGCAGTGAGAGTTTGATCAGAGGCAGAGGATGTGGGAATTTCTTGCTCTGTCCAGTTCGATAGAAGCCATTCCATTTGACCAAATCTAAGTACGAGAAACTAAAATCACACTAACACATACCACAGAGAAGATGCTATTTTGTAGTTTGTACATGTTTGAAAATTTTTTTTAAAACTACATGTTTATGTTCCTAGAAGACAGTGTGGATAGGGAGGACTGACCCTTTCATCTCATTTTGCCATAACTATATGACACAGTCCTAAGATGTTTACTAAGTGATTTTTTTTTCTCTCTCGATTTCTACAGTCTTTTGTATCAAAGGATACACCTATATAAATCTCTGATCATCCTAACATACCTCAGTACCTTGGAGAGTTAGACCTACTTCTATTGTAAGTAGTACCCAAATACAACATCCATTTTGGAGAGCTCTCTGCTCTTCCTCACACTCACACTACTGTTGTGCTGGGCCAGTGGTTGGTAAGCTGCGGCTAGCGAGCCACATGTGACTCTTTGGCCCCTTGAGTGTGGCTCTTCCACAAAATACCATAGCCTGGGCAAGTCTATTTTGAAGAAGTGGTGTTAGAAGAAGTTTAAGTTTTAAAAATTTGACTCTCAAAAGAAATTTCAATCGTTGTACTATTGATGTTTGGCTCTTCTGACCAATGAGTTTGCCAACCACTGTGCTGGGTGATCCCAGTGGACCTTCCCAAGCAGTATTCCTGTTGATCTTCACCATCCTTTGATCCTCCATATTTATCTATTTCTTTGAAGGCAAATACAAAATAGAGGACTGCAGGGTTTTCTGTGTTTCTATTGTTGGTGCAGATGGTAAAGGATAGACACATGAAAAGGAAAAAGGTGGGCCAGCTGATTTTTCCAGTCTTCAAAGTGTAAATGTCTTGGTTCTTAAGACTATGTGAAGAGGCCTGTTGACATGAAGTATCACTGACAATGGCACCAAAGGGTATTTTGTGAAATAATCCATAAAACTGGAAAGGACCTGAGGGAACAATGAGTCCAGCTTCCTCACTTTCTGAGCTGAGGTTCCTGAAGCCCAATTGGGAAAACTGCAAGTCACAGAACATGGTGATTTTCTCCATGACAATGTCCTTCCAAGATTCTTAGAAACCCCAATTTTAATCCCACAAATTCTCAGTGTCCTTGTGTTTGGCTGTAGCTCCCTTTAGGGAAGCTGGCTGCTAGCACAGCACCTTGGCCAAAGCAGACACTTGATAAATACTTGTTGATTTGAACTAATTCTATTATTTATCCCTACTATGCAATCTGTTATTTTTCCTAGGGCTCCTTGCTTTTCAGGGATAGCCTCAAGTCCAGGAATCTGAGGTTTGATGGCCAGTGCTATATTTGTCATCTCTCTCTAGTCTCATTCCTAGTCAATATGAATATCTCTTCATATTGAAAGTCCATTTTTTGGAGTCTGTTCTTATATAGCTTTTCATGATATACAATTGTTATCTGCCTTTCTCTAGGCACTATTGAACATATCACCATGGATAGTGACTTTAAAAGGCCTGGAATTGCAAGATCAGAGATTTTTTTTCCAATTCTCAAAATAAAAACCAAGAACTAGACTCTCAATCAGATTTGCTAGGGCACACTAGAAGAAATGTAGCAATTCCATTTTCTTGCTTTAGCTAATACATGGGAAAACATTAGTGAAGCACATACTTATTTTCTGTTTATGACTGCCTCGTACATCTCATTCACTTTTAATTCCCTAAATACATATATATGAGTCATAATATCCAAAGTAGGTTTCATTTCTAAAGAGCATAATGAAGAAATGGTGATTTGTAGGGAATTGGCACTTAGACCTTATTGATATTTTGAAAATATCTTTAGAACTCAGGAGAGCCTGACTGGTGTGGCTCAGTGGTTAAGCATTCCACTGATGAACCAGGAGGTCATGGTTCAATCCTCTGGTCAGGGCACATGCCTGGATTGCAGGCACAGTCCCCAGTGTGGGGTGTGCAGGAGGCAGCCGATCAATGATTCTCTCATCATTGATGTTTTTTCCTCTCTCTCCCTCTCCCTTCCTCTTTCTGAAATCAATTAAAATAAAAAGTTGCTTTAGTATTAAAAAGGTAATTTGCCCAAATGTGTTTTCTATGTAGGTGACTAGCAAAACACTAGGTCTGGAATATATAGTATTATATTCCCCAAGTCCCTAAAGGCTACCTTTAATCAGTTTCCCCAAAACAGTAAAGGAAAAACAAATTTGATGAAATCAAAGTGGCAGGTTTTTAAATATTAATAATAATTTGCTTGTTGAATCTAAAGACAGCAGGGAAGGGATTTTCCCAGCCCTTGGTTAAAAAAAAAAAAAGTCCAGGTGAGAACATGGAGGCAAATCAGAATTAAGCAAGTGGAGATACAAGGTCCATCAAGCAATACACATATGATGCTAACAGGTGAGGCAGAGTTCTTGAGAGGGCGTGTGGATATTAACCTTGGGTAAGGAAGGTGCAGGAATGATCTTCACCTTGCAAACTCTTCAATTCACCTTGATGTTTCTATGTGGAATCTCATCTGCCTTTAATATGAGAGGGGAAGGGAAATGCTCTGGAACCCTCACTTGACACTGCTCACTGGGGGACCCCACTATATTTCAAAGAGCATGAAAAACTACTCCTAGAGTCAGAGAGCCCTATTACTACTGAATGTAGAAGGGATCTTAGTTATCCAGCTCAAATCCAATGTAAGAGAACCTTTTGAAGCATCTGGGATAGATCATTATTTTAACTTTTGCCTGAGTATTTGCAGCAACAGGAAATTTTGCTATTGAGCCCATTCCTCTTTAAAACAACTCTTATTAGGAAGCTTTCTTATATTGAAGCAAACATCTGTCATGTATCCAGTTTCCCTTTGTTCCTATTTTTGCCCTTTGAAGCTACACAGAAAAAGTCTAAGTCCTCTCCTATTTTAAAGCTCAACAAATTTCAATGCACCTATTATATAATTTCTTCCTTTTCTGTACTTCCTTTCCAGCTATACCTGCTATTCTTCAGGGATCTCTTCCCTTGTTCATTGTATAATCAGACCTTTCACAATCCTGACCATCTGTCTCTGGACACAATCAATGTATTAATGTTTCTCTCAAAATACAGTACCCAGAATTGAACCTAACCCTCCATCCAGATGTGGTCTTACCAGTGCAGCTTGCAGGGCTCCCTGGACTTCTATTACCACGGGTTGAATGAAATAGCTTTATGAATAGCCACAATATACTCCTGATTCAAAACTAAACTCCTATTTCCATAAGAAAACATTTCTACATGACCTGCTGTGAAACTATAACTTTCCAACACCCTCCCATCAATACACACACACACACACACACACACACACACACACACACACACACAATACACAATACACAATACATATACCATGCTGTTCTTAGAGGGTTGCATTTAAGAAAACTCAAAATATAGTTTCTCATTAATGCTTCAATTTCATCTTTTTAATTTCAGTCTTATGCTCAGGTATTTAAAAAACAAAAAACAAAACTATAATGATCCCTATATCCTAGTGTCAGTACACAGTTAGAATTCAACTACTATTTATTGAATAAGTTAATCCTGAATCTGCTGGTCAACAAACTAGACATATGTCTATTTCTGTGTCATCTACAAATCTCATCAACATGTCTCTGTCCCCTCTTCCATTCTTCATGGAGATACAGAAAGGCAGAGAGAGGCTGCCTTTGAATTGTTGAGCAGGTATCCCTTTGGGATGGCTGATGTAGCTTCTTGTGTGGTAAGAAAACACCAATGAACAAATAAGAAGCAGAGGTGCAGAAAGTGAGCCAGAATGGATGAAGGTAAAGAAGATTGAGTGTCCCAGACTCTTAAAATCAATGTTTAAAAAGTATGGCTTTCCCGCCATCTCTATCCTAGCATCTTCTGCCTTTTAGATCTATCACAATACTGTGCTTGTCAAACTCTGAATTTGTGGGAAAAGCTCAGATAAGCTTAGTTTTAAAACAGCTTTGAAATGATCTCTTCAGCATCCATTTCCTGAAAATCTGAGTTATAAAGACACACCTCCCTATTGGCTATGAGGTATAAAAAGAGTTCCCAAATGCCTGAGGTATAACACATATATCCATTTGTTTCAGAAATCAGAAATGGCCTATATTTTTCAATGTGAATTTGGGAATTCACTGAGAGTGAAGCTGTCTCCTGAATTGAACATAACCTTACAATGAACATCCCTTTTCCCCAGAATGAAGAAAAATAAGTTCAATTTTGCTTTCCTTCCAACAGCCAACCTTTGCAGAATGTGGAGCTAATCACAGAATAAAAAAGTATCTCACTGTGCCTTTTTCCCATCCTGTGACCAAAACCTTAGAGAGATGGGAAAAAGTGTTTCATTCAAAACAGTGTAGGATCTCGAAAACGTCTGTTGCATAGTATTCATATACAAAGAATGGAGACACCTACGAAAGGACTAGGAAACCTACAGAGGAAATTTGTTTTGTGCCTTTTCTGAACCTTTTCTAGAGGGAGTGACAGAGATGGGTTCTTAATTAACTTCTCAAGACCGTGTTTTCCAGAAATTCATGTAAATGACAGAAGAACACTAGAAGGAAATCATGCCAAAACTGATGCGGAGGTTCTTTTCCTGACTCTCCTAGTCACAACAAACAACTCCCAAGTGCTGTGAGATAAGCAGAGGCAGAGGAGGCTTCGTGAGTGAGCTCCACGTCAGGTGAACCAGCTGCTTCAGGCAGTCAGAGCCTCTTCACAGCAGCCGCCTCGGGTCTCCTGTTCACACATAGGCAACTACCGACAGCAAGGTCCAATGCACTGCTCCCAGCATGGGGTAGTCACGTAGGTACTGACTTGAACTTCAGCTATTCAGGAAGATGTCTTATTGGGACTCTCAGGTCACAGCCTCTCAGTGGGGCTTCATCACTGGATCCCACACTCCTTGGGGTTTTCCACTTCATCTCCTTCAAAGTCCGGCTTCAAACTCTTTTTTTGCTCAATCTCCACCTGCCAGGAAGGAAAGTTGGAGAGGAATATCAGAAGAGAAAACATCCCAAGAAATAAATAAATCAAGAGGGAATACCTCATGGGTTTAGATTCCTTTAGACTCCTCGTGATTTTGTTATGTTTTGACGTTCTCTGGTGTCACTTGTCCTGTGTCTATGATGATTCTCTCTTTGCACAGACTCTTCGCTTGGGCTGGAATTCCCCCTCCCTCACTGACCACCTAGAAGACTCTTATTCTTTGTCTTGCACAACTGCTCAGAGGTCATCTCTTCTGTGAAGCTATTCTTGATTCTTCAGGTAGAGTGAAGCACTCCCGGGCATATTCCCACTGTACCTTCTACACTGCGCCATGGTCTCCATAGGGCAAGGGCTGGCCCAAGTCACTGCTGCATCCCAGTAATGTAGGTATACAGCAGCAAGCACAGAGGTTGATAAATGAATGGCTTCCTTCGCAATTGGCCGCTTACACTCTCCATTACTTTATCTCTTTAAAAAAGTTTCCAAGCTGATAAGTATTGCAGTGTTTTCAGTTCTACCCATACTGTCTGCAAAACACTAGCTGTAACTATCAAGGAATCAGAAATTAATCTTGCCTTGAAAGTGACACACTTCAACTAGAGCCTTGGGTAAGCCAGGCAAGTGATCCTTCAAGCTAGGAAGTTTCATAATTAAAGCTGCTTTCCTCTACACCAAAGTGGACATTTATGACAAGGGGAAAAGTCAAGACAGAACAGCTGACTTAGGGCAGTGATTTGCTGCAAGAATTTTTAAAACACGCAGTATCTGACTATTTAGTTGGGCACTGACCTTGTTTCCCTTAGACTGTCAAGTAAAAAAAATGACAACAGCCAACACAAAAATAGCTGCCTGGTGTGAATGAATAAAAATTATATATATATATATATATATATATATATATATATATATATATATATATATATGTATGTATTTTTTTTGTCACATCTGCAAAAATATTTTTTTTGGTGTGCCACAGAATTTTAGTAATTAGTTTGTGTGCCATGAGATGACAAAAATTGAAAATCGCGTGTCTGAGGAAAGTGCTATTTTTTTTTCTGGCCACAAGATGGAGTATGTGTTCTTTTTGGTAGACCACACAACTAAGGAGGCAATTAGAAACCAATAAATCACCATATAAATCTAAGGATATTATTATGAATAGAAAATTATTAAGCCACTTTTCAAAATCTCTTCAAAAGCCCCCATTTCCATCCATGGCATTAATATCCTCCCACTGAATCTCTAACTCCCCCAGATATAGTCACCATTCGTGTCCGCACACCCCTGCTTGGTATCTGTCCTCCTCCTCCAGCCTGATCCTGTTACTACTCTAGAAGCTGGTTGGGCTTTTGAGTTCTGCCCTGTGACAGCCCAGTGACCAGGTCATGAATGTCCTAACTTTACTCAGACCACGTCATCAACTCCTGTAGCTGCTTTTGGTTAGCACTTTCCTGGCACTCCTCTTGACTCCCAAATTCACTACTCTGCAACATAAATGACATTATGAATGGGTTATAATAATCCCTTTATCACATTCTTCTTTTTTATGTTGTTGTTTATGATGACATTATATTCTCCTCTTTCATCAGCTTCTTTATTTTTCCCCCCAATCTTCCTCTTGCTCACTGAAGAGATTATTCCTTCATATCAGAGCAGACTCGCCATGGCTATGTACCATGGTGAGCCGTCACTAAGGTGGTAAGAGAACACTGCCCCCAGCACGGGCACTGTTAAAAGGACAAAGAGGGGGGAAGGGAGAGGGGGGACATCAATCAGATGCCTCCCAGGCTACCTGGTAGCTGTAGTGTGCGGAATAATTGACCCACTTCCTGACGTCCGTCTTGTCTTCCACAGAGATGGATCTTACAGCAGCTTTAGAGGCTGAAGTGGTGGGCATGCTGAACTCGACATTCACGTGACTGGCAAATCTGGAAGGCACTTCCCGGTCCGAGCCAAGTTCAAGGTGACAGAAGAAACAGTGTGGGTGACCAGAAGCTATGAAACAAAGATAAAGAATCTACAGGTCAGGTTCTTTGGAGGAGGAAGTGGAAGAAGAGCCACCTCAGTAACAAAGGAGGCCTGGGGCCCTGGCCAGTGTGGCTCAGCTGGTTGGAGCATAGTCCTGTACAGTGGGAGGTCGCATTCCTGGTTAGGGCCCTTACCCAAGGTTGCAGGTTTGATCCCCAGTTGGGGTGTGTAAGGGATTGATGTTTCTCTCTCACATCAATGATTATTTCTCTCTCCCTCTTTCTCTCTCTCTCTCAAATCAATTAAAAACAACAACAACATATCCTCAGGTGAGGATTTAAACACAAAAACAAAACAACAAAGGAGGCCTGGAAGTCTTTCAGAGGGGCCAGCCGTGAGCAGAGGATTTGCCTCTGCAGAAATTGCTCTGACCTTTTGATACAACACTATCTGATGACAGAAGCCTGGTATCCTAGCAATGGAACTATGGCTGAGAAGCAGAGGTCATTCGGCCTGCTCACATCAGAGTGACATGTGAGCACAGAACAAATACTAAGACATGGGGGCTGTAGACTGGCAGAGAGGAATAAAAGGGGTTGGCACTTAGCACCTAGTAAAACATCAGTGACAGCCACTTGGAGCAAAATCAATTTTCTTTGAAAGATAAATTGAATTTTCTTAATAGCATTTCATATTTTTAAAAAATGTTTGTGGCATGCTTTTGTGGTTGAGAGACATATGCAAATGACAGCACCTTTGTAAGCACATTTATTTTAGGGAAGCGCAGCCAGAGAGCACACAGACTAACAGTCAGCAAGCATCCCTGAATTTGATGTCCAGCTTTCCCGCTAAGCAGCAGAGATCCCGCACCTGAGTCCTTTATTCTATCCAGGCCTCAATTCTTCATCTGTAAAGTGGGGCAGCTGTGTAGGTGGGCATGGGGCAGTGGGGGGAGGCGGTGGTTGGACTGGACAATGCTAGGCATAGACCCTTCCTGTTCTTTAATTCTGTACATCTATGGCTCATTCTACTGTACTTGGATAGCAAACTCAAGGTTGGATTTTCATGGAGAGTTATTACTAGGTATTTGAGGGGAAAGGGTTAGAGCTTATTTTTGTGACTGTCACTTATGAAGCTCTGTGGTCATCTTTATCGGATTCAGGAAGAAAATTGAGTGCTCTGTGCCAGGTTCTGTGCTGAATGCTTTCTGTTCTACAGATTCTCTCACAGTCTCTTCATAACAGAATTTGGAGATCATAATATTATATTCTACTAGAGGCCCGGTGCACAAAATTTTTGCACAGGCGGGGGGGGGGGGAGATGCACGATCCCCTCAGCCCAGCCTGCACCCTCTCCAATCCTGGACCCCTCAGGGAACATCCCTCTCACAATTGGGGACTGCTGGCTCCTAACTGCTCACCTGCCTGCCTGCCTGATCGCTCCCAACTGCCCCCCGACCCCAACCTCCCGCCAGCCTGGTTGCCCCCAACTGTCCCCCTGCCAGCCTGGTCACCCCACGCATTCTGCTACTCAGTTATCCATCTGGTCGTTTAGGTCGTGATGGCCCCTGGCTTTTTATATATTAGGATTGCAAAGAAGCAGAGCTGAGACCTGACTAAGCCCAGCCGTCTGACCCCAAATTGTTTTAACCACTTTGTCTGAGTCATAACCTCTTGTTTCCAAATCTCAAGACCAGGTCTGCAGGGTGACAAAGTCTATGGGTGACAATGTCTGCAGGGGAAGTCAGCTATAAGAACCCCACTCATAGCAACTGGCTATGGAGAAACAATGTTACAGCCCTTAGTTATCTGAGTTTTCCCAAATAAACAATTCCAAGTTCCTTTATTGGTCTGGGGGAGGGACTTTTTAATCTCAGTAAGTGAGGCCCCTACACACACCCTGTCTCCAAGGAAAACATTACAGAGTGAAGTATTTGTTTTGCTCTGTTTCACAAATGTGAGATGTTTCACTGGTTTTTTCTAAAGAGTAAAACTTTAGGAAATTAATTGAAAAATTTGCACTGGTTTTAGGAAAGGAATTTAAGATACATGTAATAGTAGAAATTATATTATTTAAAAAGACATTCTTTTTTTTTTAATAGTGTGCCACATATGTAATGATATAGCCATCATCTATTGAGCATTCATTACAACAGGCCAGAGACTGTTAAACAATTAAAAGCATTTTCTAATTTCATTCTTAATGGGTTAGATATTAATAACCCTATTTTATAGATGAGGAAAATGAGATTTCTCTGAGAGGGTAAAGTAAATTGCCTGAGGTCACAGAGTCATTACGTTGTAGTACTGGGAATAAAACAGATCTGACTCTAAATTATGATTAAACTTCTCTCAATGTACTGCTATAGATTTAAATCACTTCAAAGTATATAGAGGAATTTCTTTTCTTCTTCTTCTTTTTTTTTTTTTTTAATATATTTTAATGATTTTCCACAGAAAGGAAGGAAGAGGGATAGAGAGCTAGAAACATCGATGAGAAAAACATCGATCAGCTGCCTCTGCACACCTCCTACTGGGGATGTGCCCGTAGCCAATGTATGTGCCCTTGACCGGAATTGAACCTGGGACCTTTCAGTTCGCAGACCCATGCTCTATCCACTGAGCCAAACTGGTTTTGGCGATATAAAGGAATTTCTAATTTCATTCAATAGCAAGAACAGTTTTACATGACTCTTATTTACACATTTTGAGTATCGAGAAATCATTACTTTTCACAGCTGACTTTATGAGAACATTCTTTCTTGACTCTATGAGAACATTCTTTCTTAATTCCCAGCATCAACTAACGGATGTGTAGGCCTGGTGGACAGATAGGGAAGTGCAATTTTGAAAGCTAGTGTAGTTTAATTTATGAGCTAATGAGGCCATGCATCATGTCATCTTCCTAGATGGATTTGAGAACATTTAACATTACAATTCAGATTTCTATTTGCCATAAAAGGGCAATCATATTGTGTTTGCTTTCTCTTCACTTGGTCTAATGAGAACTGGAATTCCAGCAAAGAAAGCTACCTGGGCAGGGCAGAATGTTTTGTTTCCTGGTGGAGAATCTGGGAAGGCAGCTGGACTGGTGCTTTGTTCTGGTGCCTTCTAGGATTAAGAGAAATTCTTGGGAATAGAGTGGGAGGGGTCCTGCAGAATGCAAAGAGTTGGGGGATGCATATGCACATGGCTGAGCTGGCACCCAGGAGCGGCTTGTTAAGTCTTTTGATGGCTGGGATTGGGACACACCTGCTGTGGCTGAGGCGTGGGCTGCCAGCAGAGCCAGAGGTGCTGCCCAGCTGGCCCCTGCTGCCTGTGGTCTGCCTGCCCTGCCCACTGAGACTGGGGATGCAGAGCCACTGCAGGTGGGAATGGGTGCGCAGAGATTTAGGCTTCCTTCACTGTAGACAGAGGGTGAGGATTATGAAAAATAATCTATAAGAGGCACCTTCCCAAGGCTGTCTGAAAACCAGGATAGAAGAACTCCAAAAAAAAGACAATTACTAATAGATCATCAATTCCCTGGTTTCTTGGCATGGGATGGGGAGGACAGGGGACTGGGCGCAGAGAGTACCAGCAACGGTGAGAACCTGCAATCTCACTGGAGTTCAGATCCTGTACACCTCCAGTTTCCAAGAAAGGGTGCTATCCATTTCCTAAACTGACACCAAACTGGCCAGCAGTATTACAAGAGCCCCTTTTGGGGATTATATAACCTAAATCTATATAACCATGACAGCAAAAGCAGTAACTGGGGTGGCGGAGGAGGAGGACATTTCCGTGAGAAACATTCCCAAATATCCCTACGTTTTCCTGTATTTCAAAAATCTTTCACAAATAAGGTTTCAGTCATCTGGAAATACATATGTAATATGTAATATGTAAGTTACTTGGCTTTAAGCCTACTGAACACAGCCCACTGGGAATCATTAGGAAAGTGTTTGCTGAAGACCCATTTTTCCCCCTGTCCTGGATCCATTCCTCTTTCTTCTGATGACAATCCCCCATCCTCCCCCCTCCCCCTTGGGAAATTATCTTCCCCAGCACTGTGTCATCTTGGTGGGCTTGTCGGTCAAAATTCACTGTCCTCCTTGACTCGAGCCAAGTGGCACAAGGACAGAAACTGGCTTGTGATCAGTCCCAGCGGCTGCAGCCTGAGGAGACACCATAGTTCCTCCTATCAAGAGCTGTCCTCCTTTCAATTCTGAGCTGCCCAGATCCTTCCAACAGCTTCCCTTTCCTTAAAGCAGCCAGCCAGTCTTTACGGCTTATAACCCAGATCCCTCAGGTAATGCTTTCAAATAATTGAGAGAAAGAAGTTTGAAACAAATGGTACATGTGTGTACACACTGGAAAAACTACAAATCTCTGTCCCCACAGTGGAAATTATTTCAGGTTTGGGTCTATTTGGTGTCATTTACATAGAAGCAGCTTCGGTGTTGGGAAAAGAGCCCGGATGATGTGGCTTTGTGACTTCAGAAGAGTCATGTCACCTCCTGGCCCTTAATCTTCTCCTATGTAGAATGACGAGTTTGAGTAAGTTGTCCCCAACATCCCTTCCACCTTGAAAAACCCAATAGTCCCAAAATAAAGTTATCCGAGTCCATGCCTATTAGTACACTCAAAAATCCCAATAATCATACACCCAAAGCCTTGTTTTGCTCCACGTCATGTGTCTAGCAGGTTAAACAGGAACTTTTCCCTGTCTCCTCAGATCTCTTCCCCAAGGCCTCTGTGGCAAAGAATTCAGGCTTTCTCCTTTCCTCCACTGATTCAGAGGGGCCTGTGGCTGAGATATAATAGAAACCACAGCGCTCTCGCCAGAATACAGGGATCTTTCAGGGGGCATGAATTAACAAGCACAAAGAGGAAGACTTTATCTTAAAAGTTCTGTCAGTTTAGAAACGGAGGGTGGCAATTCCAGCCCCAGACACAGAGGTCCAATTGTCCTCCCGGGCTGCCCTGCTACGCCCAGCGTCTGACACAGCCTGCACGGCCTGGGGTGCCTGGCGAGTTGACCAGATCCCATTGCTTCTTGCCACCCCATCGTATTATATTTAGAGTATGATAACAGCCTCTCCGCACAGAACAGGAAATGAGGGCGCAGAACACTGTTAGGATTCCATGGTGAAACTGGAAATAAGAGAATCTGCACAAGAAAAAGACATTCCAATCAAGAGTTCCCCCAAACCTCATTCTTTTTGCTTGGCTAGGTTACCCACTTTTGTGATCAGATGAGCCAAGTTTATAAACAAGAAGAGAAGTGGTTTTAGAGGATCCTGGGTGCACTGCCTGCCACTGGGGTCACCTAGACTTACTCTCATAAATAAGGCTACAGAGCTGGCCTGCTTGCTCCCTAGTTTTGTGGTTTCACTAAATCTCACTGGAACCATGAAGAAAGCCATTGCCTTCCGGGCTCATGCAAGCACAAAACCATCCCTGATAGCTGTGAGCAGGCCCGCTAGGGCTGGTCGGCTTGATCTCTCTGATTAAATAATCTCATATTCCTTCCTTTACTTTCTGTTGGTAGAATGTTAGCCTTTTTTAGACCATTATATCCTGGCTGGATCTTCCATCTGATCAGAGGCCATTTCTCCTCTTCCCTTTTCCCAGATCCCAACTCTGAGCAAGATACGATAATTGACAGGCCTTTCACGGGATGGCTGGGAGAAAAATATACTCCTCACCTGTACTGCAAATATGATGAACCGTAATGAACTGGCCCTTTTAGCTACACCAGGGCATAGTTTAAAAAGTATCTCTTCAGAACCCAGAAGCCTTCTAGGATCTGGTGATGGATAGCTTCCAGCAACATAATGTTTTAATGAGTCAGAAAGTAATGTAAATTCATAGCTGCCCTGGAAAGCCACTTAGCAGCTCAGCAGAGAATAATACAGAGCTTTATAGAAGACGTGTCATAATTTAGGAGGTGAAATGATGGAGTGAAGTGTTTGTTACTTACTCTGCTCAAATATTTTTGCTTTTCTTGTCCCACTCCCCATTCGTCCCCATCCCCATCGCAAACCAAAACTCAGCTCTTCACAGGGAAATAGGGTGTGGAACTCTGATCCTGCTGTCTGGTGACCGGGCAGTGGTTTTCACAAACAAGAACCACCCTCCACTTACCTGAGTTCTTGTCAGGCAGCCGGTTTATCCTCCACACGATGGAGTTGAAGGCGTGCTCGTACTTGGCAGTCCCCAGAGTCACTCTCATGACAGGTTCCGAGCCAGACACACTGGTGGAACCAAAGCTGGCCCCCCGGTTGACCTTGGCCTTCAGAGACTTCTCCCCCAGGACGCTTTCCCTGCGGAAGTTTTTCACCCACTCACTGGGCACAGGGTACCGAACCATCACGTTCTCACAGGGAACCTGAGTGAGGGGGTCACAGTTGGAGGAGAAGCCGGTGGACATCCTCAGCCAGCTCTGCACCTCCACCTCCGCCCCGTTGATGCTCGCAGCCGTCCGGAGCGTGAAAGGCAAGGTCTTCTCGGCAAACACTGTCCTGAAGCGCATCAGCTCGAAGCGGCATGCGTCCAAAGGGTTGAACAGGATAACCCGGGAGCTGTGGAACACATCCTCGTCCACACACCCGTGGAAACGGCACTCGTGGAGCTTGATCCACTTGGTGGTGGTGGTCGGCATGATGTCTTGCCGGGAAACGACTTCGTTCCCTTTGACCAGGATGTCGTTGAGGCCCAAGCGGCACTCTGCCAGCCCCGAGAGGAAACTCAGGATGTGGATCCGTGTCAAGACGTGGTGCTGGAGAATCCGGTGGTCCCCTTTGCTCACGAGGGCAGAGAATTCATCCCTGACATCCACGGTAATCTCCTCTTCCAGGTAGTTCAAGCCGACTGTGCTCAAGTCCATGGACAACACGGGCAGGTCCATGAGATGGTCCTGGACCGCACGGATGAAGCTCAGAAAGTCATCGTAATTGGTGGTGCCCAGCTTAATCACTTGTTCCCTCTCGGCTGTGTGGGCGACAGCAGGTTTGGGCTGGTATTTCTTCTTTTCCTTGTATGTGACTCTGTCTATCCGCAGGCTGTGGATCCTGCCATTCTCATCATAGTTTTGGAGCCGGGGTTCTGAAATCTCATGGCAGATCTCCAGCTTGAACTCTCGGAATGGTTTCTCTAGGCCCTGCTCGTAATACAGCTGCAGGTAACCAGCAGCTGTCAGTCTGATGTAGATGGGTCCCCAGTGTCTGGAGGACATGATGTTTTTCTTCTCGGGGATCCTTAGCATCATTGGCCACCCGTCCCTGGGCTGGGAAGGTGCTGAGCCAGGCGGGTGGTCGAGTTCGAGCCAGGCTACGGGGTCATCATCGGGCAATGTCGCACTGCCTAAGTGATCGGGATCGTCAATGTGGAGTTGTTTGAGTTTTTCAACAGCATCGGAGTGTGACCGGTTTTTGCTTGAGTCATCAAAACTGATGGCATCCTGGTAGATGACAATGAGAGAGTCCCTCTGGCTTTTGCCTGTGGTGCCAGATGTGGAGTTGGTTTGGGAGCGCCTCTCCTGCTCCTCAAAGAAAGCACTGAAAGGGTTGATTGGGGAGGGTTGTACATCCTGGAGAGTCTCATTCAGGAAAGGGTTGGTGGCCCTCCAAGGTGGAGCCTCAGCTATGGGAGGCGGATGGTTTAAGGAGGAAACGTCCAGCTTCTGAATTTTGTTGGAGTTCATTAACGTGCTCTTGGGACGTTCCCTTTTCTTAAATGAGCCAGTTGAGTAATAAGGTTCATCTGGGGTCACAGATGCAATAGATGGCGTGTTTGACTTCAGAGGAGTGGTGACGGGTGGCAAAGGGCAGCTGACTTCATTGTCATCAAAAGTGACCCAGCTGGGGAAACGGGCAGAGGTCACCGGAGTGGCAGCGTGCCCATTCATGACAGGGCTGCTGGCCTGCCAGCGGATGGCCTCCATGTCTACCTCTTCATCTTCCTGGAGTGAGGAAGAGTTGTCTAAAAGGAAAAAGAAAACACGTGAGGGCTGCTATTCAGGGCCCCTAGAAGTATGAGAAACTGAGGTATGAGAATGAGCAATGACTAGCATTTTATCTGGAATGCAATAAATTCCAAAGCAATTCATTACCTGTCTCAAGTGCTTAGTCTGGGCACACATAATTTTGTAATAAGCACACAAGAGGGGCCTTATGTCCAATACAGTAAGAATACAGATGAGTCTACTGATATAGAAGCATTGGTAGGACCAAGTTCCCTTGCAAATTGAACTCTTATACATTCTCACTTTTGTATGAGTTTCTAGGATAGATGCTTTCTTTGCTCTAAAGTTTGTATTATTTTTTCAAAATAAAATTTTATTGATTTCAGAGAGGGAGGTAGAAGAGAAAGATAGAAACATCAATGATGAGAGAGAATCATTGATTGGCTGCCTCCTGCACACCCCCTACTGGTGATTGAGCCCACTACCCAGGCACATGCCCTTGACTGGAATTGAACCCACCGGATCAGGCCTAAGTGGGGAGATGGACATCCCCCAAGGGCTCCTGGGCTGCAAGAGGGATGTCTGACTGACAGCTTAGGCCTGGTCTCCTAGGAAGTGGGCCTAAGTTGATAGATAGACATCCCTTGAGGGCTCCTGGACTGTGAGAGGGCACAGGCTAGACTGAGGGACCCCCTGAGTGCACAAATTTTCATGCACCAAGCCTTTAGTATGTTATAAATATCCAAATGGCCATTAGCAGAAGAAAGGTTCCCCACCCCTGCTCTAGAAGAATGTGTACAGGGGTCTCTGCCACTATTCCACCCAGTGTTTCTACTGCCAGGAATTGGGAATTACAGAGAAATGGATACTCAAATGCTCCAGTCAAATAGTTGAGTTTTCTAAATGCTTCACTCAACTTTCATGAAATCATGTTCAATCATAACAAATCAGAAATGCCACCCACAATTGCAAATGTAATTACACGTGGATGGGAAGGCTGGCTTGCCATCCATCTTTCCAAGGATATTTATTCAAACAAATAGCAATTCCTTCTACTGGAAATGTCAGTTTGAAAATGTAGGCTACATACATGAGCATGCATAGGCATGTATCCACATTCATCCTAGAAATATACAGGTCAAAAAGTATTTTCTGTATGTACAGCACCACAAAAGGGTTTCAAAGCATTTTTAAATTAAAGACACTATCCATCAAATTAATCATTATCCCACTTTTATAGATGCCTATGTGATTTATTTTCTAGAAAATAAAGGGGAAGGGGTTAGGAAACAACCCAGATTTTAGAATTTATATTTTATGTATTACTACTACTAAGGGAATAATGTGGGCCTGAGTAAAATATAATCACTTCCTTGGAGCTATAACTGATCCTCCCTATAGAGCTGGGAGGGAGTGAACCTTGAAACCCATCAATTTCTAATGAATCGGCTCTATGGAGTCTCTGTAACGCTGAGTTCCCACCCACCCTGTCTGGAACTGACCCACCCTTGTATCAGAGGCATCCTTGAGCTCATCACTACTCCCTGATTTAAAACAAGCTAAAGTCCTTTTCCTTTGGAGGCTGGCTTTCTGCCTAAATTGCCAAAGGATTCCCATCTGTTGGGAATCTTGTCCCCAAAATAGTATTTCTGATCTTCCTTTCCCAAGCCAAAAAAGAAGGGGGGAAAAGGCCTTTGTTTCCAGTGAAGATAATTTTCTTACAATAAATTTCTTTCTTTCATTTTTAAAAATATGTTTTTATTGATTTTAGAGAAAGGCAGGGGGTGGGGGGGGGTGTGGAGAAAGAGAGAAACATTGACGTGAAAGAGAAACATCAATGGGTTGCTTCCCATAGGCACCCAGACTGGGAATCGAACACACAACCTGGTGTGGCTGGTACTGGAAACAATGGTAGAGGAGGCAAGCAAATTTCTCCAGTAAGAAATCAGCAAAAACTAATTATTTTAAGAACTAAATTAACTATCGCAATTGTGTTTTATTGACTCGTTAAAATAAAACCAAAAACCAAAAATCCAGCTTTATTTTAATTACTATCTCTTCCACTTGCTACTTCCAAATTGCTCTTATGACGAACTGGGCTGCTGCCAAACAAAAGCCACAGATGAAGGTTAGGTTCTTGTTTTACACCACAGCGGGAGTTTGCAGGACCTAAGAGCTTTCTGGTTAGTGTCTTAACTGATGCAAACCAAAGAAAATGGTGGATTCTTTTCATGTTAGACCACCGCCTTATTTTCAGTTTGCAGAAGATTAAATGAAATGATTACAATGGTAATCAAAGCCACCAAACTGAAAGAAAAAAAAAAATGTAAAAACTATGGGGAGAAAAAAAATAACCATTTCTATGAGATTTTAAACACAGCAGACACTCTGTCATCTTTTCCCCCTAATTGGGTAGCATAATTTGTTAATGCCAATGGCAAATGCAAAAATCTTATTGAAGGCTGTTCACTGGAATTCATTAGCAGCGGCGAGAAGAAATATTCTTAGATTCTCACAGTTTTCTCAACGTGAGATAGCAGTCACTGTAATACAAGAGAATATAGTTAAAACTGTATAACTAGTCTCAGACGCACAGTCAGCACTTAAATATTTGTGTCAAATGTAAAGCGAAGAGAGGAACACAAATCACAGAATTGGAGGGCTTGAAGGGATTTTAGAAACAGAAATTGACCTGTTCATTTTGCTGAAATGACTGGGCCTCAGTGAGTTTAAGGAACTGCCCAAAATGAGATTAAAAAGTAAGTCCTACATTTAATCATTAACTATTTTCTTAATGCTTGTTTGTTAAACTAAAATCCAGTTAATTTTTTCCCGTTACCTTTTAGATTGGCAAGAGTTATCTTGATACAGTTTTTTAGGAGCATTCTTCAGTGAGGAAAAGAACTCAGCTAAACAAGGATTAACATCCACTTATACAGAGAAGTTTTTGGGCATAGGGTCAGGAATGTCACCCCCTGACATATGAATGTGTGTGGGTGAGAGAAGGGAGTTAGTCATCTAACCTTATCAAGGCAGCATCTAACCTAGGTGAAATAAACTGGAGCTTAGTTATCATCACAAACACACTGGCAAAAAACAAAAAAACAACAACAGAGGGTGGGAGTCTATTCATCTGTCCTAGCATTGTCATGGAAAGAGGATGCTTTGATTCTGGTAAAGTTACATGGTCAGAGATACCCCCAAGTGAAGAAGCCAATTCACTGAACTACCAGTTATCACTACTTGACAGAATCCCTATCAAGAACATTGTACACTACATTCTGGTTTGAATTGGCTAGGAGGACCTCCAGAACAGTACTCAGCACCTTCTTCAAATGACAGTTTGCTAATCACTCCCCGCTAATCAAGATGGGATTAGACTTTTAGTTGGATGAATGGCCCAGGAACATCCCCAATATGTTGTGTTCCTGACCAATCTGTTCTCTCTGGTTCTGATTTACCATTGCCCACTTCCCATGCCTTCCCCATTCTCGAATTGCACTCTTACCCTGATGGGTTTATATACTTTAAGCACACCAAGCAATGCCTTCTTTCCCTGCAAAGTCCTGAAACAGTTATATAGTAGAGCCATCCTACTGTAGATCAGACACAAAGTCTGATCATTTTGAACCTTAGCAATGGGAACTGCTAACTCTTTAAAGTTGATTCTGCAGCCAAGACCGGTTTGGCTCAGTGGATAGAGCATCTGCTTGCAGACTGATAGGTCCCAGGTTCGATTCCAGTCAAGGGCATGTACCTTGGTTGCGGTCACATCTCCAGTAGGGGGTGTGCAAGAGGCAGCTGATCAATGTTTCTCCCTCATTAATGTTTCTAACTCTCTTTCTCTCTCCCTTCCTCTCTGTAAAAAAATAAATTAAAAAAATTTTTTAAAATAAATAAATAAAGTTGATTCTGCAAATTTGGTCAGGGGCAGAGAAATGGAACTGGAGGCTCTCAAAAATACCCTTGTGTACATGTGTACTGGGGACGAGGAGGGGCAGGCATTCAACCGTGTCTGTATGAAGTCGGTTTATCTTGCATCTGTAAACTACACTAGGCTACAATATAGCTTGCAGGAGAAACTCAGAAGATCTGTTTGGGGCAGGGTATGCAATCAGTTGTGCTAAGAGTATCCATAGAAATGTTAGGGTCAGAAATAGAATAGCAGGGACTAGCTATAATTATCCTATATAGTAAAGAGGTATTATGTAAATTGATCCTCACGCCCTCATGTCTCAAGATGGCCACCCCCATGGTGTCACAAGATGGCCACCACAAGATGGACACCCCACGTCATCACAAGATGGCTACCCCCACATCATCACAAGATGGCTGGCAGGAGAGGCCAGTTGCGGGTGATTGTGCCAGCAGGGGAGCAGTTATGTGTCAATCATGCCAGCAAGGGAGTGGTTAGGGGCAATCAGGCAGGCAGGCAGGCAGGCGAATTGTTAGGAGCCAGCAGTCCTGGATTGTGATCGGGCCTAAACTGGCAGTTAAATTCCCCTGAAGGGTCCTAGATTGGAGAGCGTGCAGGCTGGGCTAAGGGACACCCCCAAGTACACGAATTTTGTGCCTCTAGTCCTATATAATAAAAGGTTAATAAGCAAATAAACCGAACAGCAGAACTATTGCTCACTATGATGTGCACTGATCACCAGGGGGTAGGCACTCAATGTAGGAGCTGCCCCCCTGGTGGTCAGTGTGCTCCCACAGTGGGAGTGCCATTCAGCCAGAAATTGGGCTCATGGCTGGTGAGCACAGCGGCAGTGCTGGGAGCCTTTCCCACCTGCGTGGCAATTCAACCAGAAGTCAGGCTCACAGCTGGTGAACACACAGCAGTGGAGGGAGGGCGCAGGCTGGGCTGAGGGTCCCTCCTCCCCCCAGTGCATGAATGTCATGCACTGGGCCTTTAGTAAGAAATATTAATCATGCTCTGTGAACCATAATCGTTCTGTTCTGATTAGAGAAAGCACATTCTAACCTGGCTGGGAGCCAACATCAGAATGCAGTCCATCGT